GGCTCCCCCTGATCCCTTTCCATGGTTCCCAGCTATTCCAGGGACGGGAGCCCTGAGGCTCCTGCCCCGCTGCCCTCTGGGAATCTAGACTGGTCCTCACGTCCCTGCAAAGCTGATTTGCATAAAACCTTCCCGGGGCCCTGCCTTTAAAAGTCTTCATCTTTTCTCTTCTCCCTAAACGGCCCGTAAATGATTTCTGTAAATTGCTCTAAGTAGCTCAAAAAAAAAAAGAAAGAAAGAAATAATAATAACTCAGCCACTGGCTGCCTGACCGGAATGCCGATGGCTCTCCTGCCGGCCTGGCCACAGCTCCCGGCTTCTTCCTGCAGGGCATCCAGACGCAGGGCTCCTCAGCTCCAAGGCCAGAAAGCAGAAAATCAGTCTCGCACCCCGGGCCTGGCCTCCTCCCTCAGTCAGGGCTGTGACCTCCATCTGACAGGGAGCTCCTGGGGCAGGAACATCCACCCCTTCCCTTCAGCCTGCTCCCCCACACTGGGGACTCCCAGGGACAGCTGTGCCTCCCCGATCCATCTGAGGACTCCTTCAGAGGAGCCTGCCTCTGTCACACTAGAGAAGTCCCCAGGAGAGGCTAGGCTCGCCCCATTAGTGGGGAATTCCCTCTGGCAGGGCTTGGGGGACACCCTGAGGCCCATGTCTGATTCTGGCTTTCCTTGTTCTGCATCTCAAATTGCGACTTAGAAACCTAGGTCCTGACCGCTGGACTGAGGTCTTGCTCGTTCATTCATGCTCCCAAGCTTTTCTGAATTCCTACTGTCTGCCAGACACTGAATGAACTTGTGTCTTTCTGCAGATATGGTCCCTCTGAGGAGCTCCTGCAGCCAGGGTCCCCAGACGTGGCTTGGTTCTCCTCGGGGCTGGCACTCAGAACCGCGATGCACAAACTCCCAGCCGTGGCCTTGGCCGCTCTTCGTGACCATGACCTCTTTTCAGTGTGGGCTCTGCCTGGGACCAGAGGACAAGAGAGTCCCTCCAGCACTAGGGAGGGAAGTTCCACCTAGAGACCATGACCTGGGCAGGGCTTCCCTTGGGAACCTCCACCCTCACTCCCCTCCACGTCACCTGGCCCGTGGAGCTCTGCCGTCACCTGGCCATTGGGGGTTGAGGTGAGGGGCCTTCCCCTGTAGCAGAGGGACAGGGTGTAGCCTTGAGCAAGACCCTTCCCCTTTCTGGGCCTCAGTCTCCTTGTCTGAGATGTGGTCGACGTGTATGCCAGCAGTGGTTTCTCTAATATATTTTTAGCCAGGGAAATGCAATATACAACACATCATAACATATTTACATGCTACCTAGACAAGATAGGCCACGCGTGATACAGATGGGATCAGAGCTCTTGGTTGGCGGGAACGTGGAGGTAC